TGCATTTGTTTTATGATCTGTCCTTATTGAGTTGACGCCAGTTGTTTTTGTTGTTGTTGTCGTGAATCGGTGACATTTCACTTCGGCGACTTCGATTCCACAGAACCTTGACGTATTTCATGTAGCGATATGCATATTATTCGGTGAAATATCTGTGGTACAAATGAAGATCTAATATACAAATGGACGACATTTTGTTAAAAACTACTCGTTGTGAAATATAATTTTAATGATGCTGAGATATTTGCAAAACTCCGAACCGCAGGTGTCTGCGGTGGGGAACAAACGCGCTATTGTCCTTTCCGGGAGTAATGCATTCACCACCTCACCATGCGGGTCCTTCGTTTCGCCTGTCTCTCAGCTAGTTCCTTATATTTCGCAATATATACCCTGCCGTTAAAAAGAGCAGGCAGTAAGTAATTAGTTAAAATTGTGACTACCATTGTTTTGTTAGGGATGGGATCACCTGTGTTGTTGTCCATGTGATAACGAGTGGTACCCACCCAAATCAAAAAATCAATCCGAGAAGAGGTGCCAGGTCACGAGTGGTAGTGAGGTATTCATTTTTTCGGTTTGTTTTTGTAGTTTTGAAAAATATCCAAAACTCCTCAAGAGTCTTGTGTTTTGATGTTCTTGATGCCTGCCCTAAGATCCGGTCAGTCACTTCAAAAACATCAGCATTGTGTTTTCGTTGTCTATATGGGGCTATAGGAGTACTATGTCGAGTTTTAAGTTCCCCATCTAGATTCTCTTTTATGCCGTTACTTTTATTGGTCCACCTGTTTCCCAATCAACTCTTCACGGCATGTCTTACATAAGGACGCGTATCGCGTAGTGGTCGGAGACGCCCTTCGACATACAGGCGTAATCGATCCCGACGCCCGCAGCCCACCAAGCCTTCCATCCCTCCGGGATTGGCAAATTGGTACCAAACTTGCCTGGGAGGATAGTATCATTGGTTCGATACATCGGTAAGCCGCCGCGAGTCTTTGTAAAGGGCAGATATGCATTCAATCACCTCCAAAAGATGTTTAATGAAGTCGTATGCATAGCGCAGCCCCCAGGGATTGATCAACGCCGAGAACTTTATTCTTTTTACCCTTTATGTCTTATATGTAGCTAAGTATATTGTACCTAAACTCATACAATTGCCGTCTCTGTCGTTAGGACAGATTACACAATTTTTTCTGCTGCACAAGCGAATAGAGGCGGTTACATGATAATAAACGGCGGAGAGTAATACGTGGGAGACCAATAACTGACAAAGAACAACAACTGATACCAAACGCGCGACAGCACACGCGCGTCAGCACAACGAGAGCAGCTTTCAAGAATGTGTATACTCACAATGTCGTTAATTTTTATTAACTGCCTACTAATTTTTAAATGCAAGGTATTACGTGAAATATAACCATGTTGCTGAGATGCTTGCAAAACTCCGGACCGCTGGTGTCTGCGGTGGGGCAGAACACGCTAATACCCTTTTAGGGGGCTTATAGGGGGTTCACCACTACACCATGCGAGACCTTGGTTTCGCCTGTCTATCAACCGTGTTATTAATCTATAGGCGCTATCAGCAATCACTCGTCAACGAAGTTGATCTGAGGAGCACAAATCGGCACGAACTCTCATATACATATACTACGTATACATACAATTTCTCTTTTTGTAAGTCTTTTAGTTGTTTGTTGAACACGAGCCGCACAGAGTACTAAATGGGCCAGGAATGTGCTTAGACTAAGCTCAGGTAAAAAAAAGCGGCCTGACGTATGGCTACGATTCATTTTTAAACCTTTGGAATCTATGCAGTGCATTGCTGCGAGAGTTTTTCACGCCAGTGTTTTGTATTCTTGTGCGAGGATTGTGACTTTCACTTCAAAACCTCCCCCCTTATACCTCTGTGTCCCATGGGCGCCTAGTGGAGCATTTCGTTCAACTTTAAATTTATTGAATAGGTGTTTTTTTTAACGGGCGTACAGTGCTCTACCTAGACTTCAGTGATAAAATGAAGTGGCAACCTTGTTTCACTCGGTAAATCGTCAGTTCTAGTATCCGATGGAATCTTCCTGATAACCTCCGTCGTAAATCGTAAATGATAGCTCTTTTTTGAAATCTCACCCTACACCGAAAACCAGAACTGACTTGTAGAAGAAGCAAAAGGGCAATCAAATTGCTTAGAGAATATAACATGAAGGCGGTGGAAGCTGACAAAAAAAGTCGAAAATGTGTTACACACAATGTGATTTTTGTTTAATGTCTTTGAAAAATTGAATAACTAAACCCGATTTGGGCCCGTTTATAAATAATTAATTAGACCATATTAGCCAATGTTTATGATGCTTCGAGAATCGTTGGGAAGACTTTACAGGTCCTTAATAGAATGCGCTAGAAAAAAAACCGAAAGCCCGCCCTGTTGTTTTGGGCCCAATATAATACTTGATAAGAAGAAAACCGCTGAAAAGTGTTTAAAGGCACAGAAAGAAAAACTAAGGGCGGAACACTAAAGGACCTTGTTTCACGTAGTCAAAAACCGTACACTCCAACATTGTGCTGTGTGATCATCACTTTATTAAGACATTACTTTTAATAGTCGTGATTTCCATCATGTCGCTTCAAAGATTCGCTGCAGTAGAAGTGAGGTTGTAGCGAAAAAATTTCTATTCTTTTTTGATTCTATTTTAAAACAGCCGAAACAACGTGCTATTCGGATCAAACCCTTAGTGGTACTGTACTCGTCTCCTTCTCTCCGTCATCTATGAAAGACATACGATTTGCGTCTGGGTTCGGCTAGTGTTTTAGGTTTTCCGGTTTTCTTTATACATATGTTGCTCAATGCTGGCCAAATAGATTTCCCTTGGAAGCTAAGGATAGTCGTATCAGAACGTTTTCAGACTCTCGCCATAGGCAACCGCAAGCCTTTATGTACTATGGGATTTAAGGCGATTCCAGCTAAATCTATCCTCAAATTCCCAACACCCAGCGGTTTGAATGGCACAGGGCATGGACCAGCAAGTCCTTACAGGTATCAAGTGGCACCATTTTCACTGCGCTGGCCGTGCTCCCAAATGGGACACATTAACATCGAAGACCCCTACAAACTTTGGAAACGTTTTATGTTCTTTGCATCCATCAACAGCACGTCCTGAAGAAGGTTACCAGCTCGATCTGGGTTAACAAAACCTTGCCATCTCTTGGTAAATAAGCATAAAGTAGATAACACAAAATAGTACTTAGAGTTGAGAGATTTGTCTCGAAGATTTTCTAACTCGTTGCATATTTTATTTTGTACTTGAGCATTGTAGCATTCTGAGTAAAATAACTTGCGGTGGTCTACCAATGTTTCTTTTTACCCTAGTAAACAAGTCTAGGATAAAAGAAGGAATATTTGGTTAGCCCGAGACGTGGAATTTAACCAACGACCATATGTGTTTTGCAAGACACTTCTAGCTACAGTGCCACATTTGCTACCACAATATCTGTTCCAATTGCTTTCAGTGTAGTAAATAATTGTTTTGTCTCATAACAAATGTTTCCAACGAAGTTTTATAAGCGCGTATCACTTCCGCCTAGAAATCACAGTGGTGAACATAGAATTTGTGCTTCATTGATTTTTGCAAGAATTACACCAAGTGGGAGTTAAGCACAGTAGTAGTGATGCCGTTCATTACGAGCAAATCTGTGGATCAACCTCTGTTATGCCTACCAGACCTCCCAACGCTTCAGTGTTGGTAAATTGGTATCAGACTTATCTGGATTCGGCCTAACCCATTCAGATCACGGTCCTCCCAGGGTTCCAGAGAAACGCGACACCGCTAACATTCAATAACATTCATAAAGATGACGGAAGTCTTCGAACAGTTGTTGATCTCATACGCAAAAAATTCGTACACCTTTGTGGATGATGGAAGCAAAGATAATTTGGAAGAATTTCTGGAATGCGCCTAATATTTATGATGTTGGATCGTGTAGCAAATTGAACAGAATGTCCTTTACTCTTTCATGAAATTCATGAAATTCAACTTCACATTCAATGTCGCTATATTAATGGTTGACGGGCTGAGCTGAGTTCATTAGGTGTTGCAGTTTTATCATTACTTGTTCTTGACCACTATCGGTTCTTGATGTAATAAACTGAATGCATGTTTTTAACAGTTTGTAAGATAAAGCTTTAAAGGATAAAGCTCTCGGCGTTGAATCAATCCCTGAGGGGTGCGCAATGCATTCGGCTTCATTAAGCATCGTTTGGAGGTGATTGAATGCATATATGGCTTTTACAATGACTCGCGGTGGTCTACCGATGTATTGAGCCAGTGATGCTATCTTCCCAGACAAACCTGGTACCAATTTGCTGACCCAAAAAGATAGAAGGCCTGGTGGACTATGGCAGCGAGGATTGATCCCACGTTGGAGCTGCACGGCGCCCCCGACCACTGCGCCACATGCGCCACGATTTGTGAGAAAAAACTGTAAACTTGGTGAACTAATAGATGGCATGGACGATGCTGAAGAGTGTAATAAAGTACGTTTGAGCAAATATATGCAGCAGTTGTATCACACATAATACCATGCAGTGAAAAATGATAATAGGCAGTAAATAAAAAAGTTAACACTGCGATTTCGACTACAGCCTCAGCTTGGCTGGATTCGTGTCGATTTAGACTCCCCAAATCAATCTCGTTGACGGGTGATTGGCTAACGGTACTGATCGATAGGATTAGCTACTAGACAGGCGAAACGAAGGACCCATGTGGTGTTGTGGTTAACGCGTTAGCACCGGAAAAGGTGCTAGAGCGTTCGTTCCTCACCGCAGTCACCTATGGTCCGGAGTTTTGCAAATATCTCGGCATCATTGCGGTTGTATACAGTAGTTCTTTTATTTCTGCATTCTGCACATATTTGTTCTTTGCAATAATGTCGCTTACATTTGAAATTGCTCCGAAGGCGTTTTTAGTCCTCTTGGGGCTTGAAATTTTTTGCGATATTCCAGGTTACGAGTTTTTATGCGTACACTGTGTTTATTAGCATGCCTCGCTTTGATAAAGGCTATTCCATTTCTTGGAAGAAGAACAAATTACGACGAGACGACAGCGAGGAAATTGCTGAACATGGCTGCTGGTGCTTATGGTGACCAACAAGCCGCCTGTCTGAATCGGTGAGACTAGCAAATAATCTTTTAGTGACGACCTCATTGGTTATGATGACGATTTCGTCAAATGGATGTGTAAATCATTGAATCAAGGTGAAAGATTTTAGGAAGAAAAGGGAATCGACTTCTAGGTAGCGTTGTTGTTTCCTAAAAGAAGTTCATTAACACTTATACTAGCGTTATCTGGTGCGATCCTTAATGCGTGACAGCATACGGCATAAGCTGCCCTCTACTTCTTAGGTGCTAGTCACACATCCCCTAGCTACATTCTGTGTGTTACTCAATCGGCACAGAAACCAAACAATTAATCGTTATTGTGGCATCCAAGTACCTCCTCACCTGTAGTATTCTTGGTAATTTTTTACCTTGCTACGCAGCAAAGGAAACTATGGTTTAACTAGGAAATCATCCAAAAACGTTCTTTTATTTAATTATGGAAGTTAAATGTAGAGAACCACAACTGTTGGCTTGGCTGGACCACTGGTCTGCGTTGAATAAGCTATTGATAGATTTCATAAAAGACGTTGGAGATAAAACTGCTATGTAACAAAATAAGCGACCAGAGGGAAAATGAGTTGATACCGACTCGCGCCCGCTGTTTTGCCCCGGTGCTTATGAGTTATTATCGACTTATGGCGGATTTTAAATGTTAAACTGCTTGAAAAGTAGCGTGTCCAGCCATCTTTTGTCCTATAACAATATAACTAATGTAAGTTGCACGATGAGCATAAAGATATCACATCACTGACATATTTCTACAATAAATATTTCAGAACATTCCACTCTTCCGACGCCTATGTGGTCTTATCGACGGCAAAAGCACAATGTGATCAATTCGATAACACATGTGAAGGTTACATTGGTGAATTACTTATAATTTTTGATAATCTTTCTGAAAGCTATTGAGCTAACAAATGACAAACCTAAAATTGTTGGCTTCATTCAAACCGCATAGCCGATGCCGTTTTTCTTGTGTAGGGTAGAATATCCATGCGCTGAAGCGCTCACCTGTCCATGCTCATCTTTCGATTTTTCGAATTCAGTAGTTCCATTCTTTCGGGTTTTTATTCTCTAACACAACTTTGAAATCAACTAATCGACCTCGAAGGGACGGCAGGTTTGGGTTATCCGGGTGCGGATTGACCGAACGATCCTCTGGGTATTGCGGAACACCTCAGGCCACAGTATTGTATTTCCAATGAAGTCACCTTAGTCGCTATAAACTACTAACTAGAGCTGTTTAAAAAACAAAATTTTCGTGCAGAAGAGGCAAATGAATAAAAATGCGAAAAAGGCGTCTTCGTTTTTACCTTACTAATAATTATTTATTTTTCTTCTTACATTTTACATTGCTCATCATCACATCTATTGTGCGGATCCCAGCACTTTTTGCCTTCTATGCGTTTTCCTCGCACTCTTCGTCCACGAGGGATTTCGAACATTTCGTGTAGTTTCGTTGCTGCTTGAGGACTTCACCTTCTTTATGTATGTCCTAGAATGCTGTTCAAGCCCACTTTGCTTGCAATCTTGAAGATAGCCATGCTGAGGCGCTCGTCTGTGAACTGGAGGGGAACATTGTGGAGAGGGCCGAAATTGTGCGTTTACTTCCTGTTCGAAGGCATCACTAACCACAGCGTTCTGCCTCTCCCCACCCGCTCCTCATATTTATTTGATGCATTCAATTTAAATCTTACTTTTATCTTCCAAGAAATAAAAGCGTTCACCAAGAGATGTAAGAAGGAATCGTAGAAGAAAAGCAGGCTTGTATTGTTTGGGCCCAAAATGATTAGTACTGAAAACTCTTAACGAAAAAATACTTAGAGCTCTAACGTTAACTTTCAGCTGTATCTGATATGAAAAAGGAGTTGACAGTAGTCTTCAGAGGTACGAAAACAAAGGTAATATAAAACTTTGTATGCCACTTCATCGTTGGTTTTCTTGTCAATAAACGAACCCACTAAAGAAAATTATCATGATTTGCTCGCTGTCTTTCCAGGGTCAACTTCTTCTGGAAGGACTACACTCTATACATCCTGGCATTGACTTTTTTGGCATGGGTAATGTAAGGAACATGTTTCCATAAACTCTTGCGCATTCTGCAATTTATTTATGCTCTTGTTTATTTCTAAACGCGTTTCATTCACTTTGAATGCGATTGTATAATGTCTGCTTGGTAATGTTCTAGGTTAATCGGTATTTTATGAACGGTCATCTTGCACTTTGGAGTATGGTGGAACAAGTACTCAGAGATCATAAATACGCAGTGCGTAAGCATTCTTTACAGAAGTGGTGGTAGCATTTAAGAATTTTGTTTGTATTTGTTCTGCTATATATTGAATTACAAAATCTATTCTAAAAGGTGGCGCGTGCGGTGGAGTGATAAGAGGCGCCTGCGACACACACACATATGGGATGGCTCCCCGCGCCCGTGGCTCACCAAGCCTTCCATCTCTCAGAGGGCGGCTAATTGGTACCAGATTTGTCTAAGAGGATAACAGCACTGGCTCGATACATCGGTAGGCCACCGCGAGTCAATGTATAGGCCAGAAATGCATACAATCACCTCTAACAGTGCTTAATGAAGTTAAGGCCCATCCCTAAGGGATTGCTCAACGTCGATTGCTTTTTTCAGCTTTTTATTCTAACACGTAGCGCTTACTGTCCTCATAAAATTTCAGGACTATCGTGTTACATTCACTGGACATTCTCTAGGTGGAGCTTTAGCAGCACTAGCAGCGGCTCGAACTGCTAAACAAGGTAGGTAAATTAAAAAACATGCAAAGACCACGAAAGATTAGATGTGACTAGAGATGGAAGGAATGAAAAAGAGGTTATACTGACAGTTGCTCTGATTTTTTTCTGTGGCTGTAGAATTCATGGCTGCTCAACTTCAATGTGGTAGAAAGGATGAAATTCAGACACCGTTACACTGCATATTTTAAGGCTATCGGGCTGGAGGGAAACTCAGCATCTATACGTTCGGTGAGCCACGTGTGGGTGATGCTGACTTCGCTTCAAACTTTGATAATATGATAACCAACAGGTATCTACTTGCTACATTAATCATTACAACGTTATATACCATGACATTCTGGTATTAGACAGTTGACTTGCCCTCAGTATTTCCAGGGACATGAATTTCTATATTCTCGTCAATATTTAAATGAGTTCGAATTTTCACGTTTTCGTCCAGTTATATTGCTGAAAACTTTGTCTTCACAAATAGTGTATGCCCTAAGGCAATACTCATCTGACCGATATTTTGACCGATGCCTTAAATAACAGCTTTGTCATGGTTTACAGCCAGTCTGCCTCCGTTTGCTAAGAGTTCCAGATTGATACCGTAATGTTCAGATTCGGTGATTTGCCAAAAAGAAAACTATTCGGTGCCCAGGAACACTTTCCCCGTCACTGTGCAGTGGTAGACCCAGATAGAACGGCATAGACAGATGCAAAGTCTTCTCTGTGGTGTAGACAGCATTCTCAAGAGGCCACATTTTTTGTATATGTCGACAATAGATTCTTACCAAAAGGCGACTAGGAACCCTTGTGAATTATAGTTCAAGTCTTGGTATCTTGTTTTTTAAATTTTATATCCTTCTTTCTTCTCCATGATGAAAGGAATCTTATTCGATCAGGTTGTCGTTCTGTCCGTTGCGAAACTTTTGGAGAACAGCGACGTAGCCTAGCTAAAGTCTTCAATTTATTAGGAGTTGATCTAACTCGTAATGCTAATTTCCATTGGAAGATCCCCATGTTGTAAGCCAGGTTTTTGGGATTGCGGGCTATCATGAATCTTCTTTTGGTAAATTACGTCATCATGATAAATTCAGAGGTTGGCTACACCTTTTGAATTTTTCCCAGCCCCTGTTCACAAACATGAGGTTCTTCATATCTACATCTGAGTCCTATCTAATGGTAACCTGGTAATGCTAAAAGTACACTGTTTTTTGTAGAACTTTTCCAAGACCATATACAGCGCTTCAACCTCGTCTTCGTCATGCTGGGTTTAAGGACAGAAACGATGTAGATTGTCAAATGGGTTTGGCGAACATCTACTCAGCGGTAAACGTTCTATTTGGATTGTTAGTTGTTCAAAGGAGTGGTTACTTCTGGGCAAACTCCTGTTGACAAGGACGGCCACTAAGTGTCGCACACTTTAAGGAAGAGTTCTTCTCTGGCATCATAAACGGAGTTAAATTGTTGACATATTTTCTTCACTCTCAATCAACCAGCGTCGTACCTAATTATACGGAGGTAGGTATCTACTATAAGCTCAGAACACCACCTTTCTCCTTCCAGATATAGGCAGCTTAAAACGCCTCTAAGATTTTAATAGCCTCTTTGTACTCGCTCTATCCAACGCTGCTATATCAAGGGCTGTTGAGTTAGGAGTGAGTCGTCATCCATATGAGACTCTGAGCGGCTGTTCCTTCCCGGTGGAAGACAGGTGAAAAATGCGGCTCTGAAGAAGGCGATTCTGCCGAAACGTCAGCTATGGTTGTGTTGTGCGTTATTAAAACTAAAACGTTTGTGGAAGTAAACTTATGCTGTTTAACAGCCTCGTGAATGCTGAAAAAGAAAACGTCGAATTTATAAACCAAAGCCAAGGTTGATAGAAAGTCGATCCTGGGAAATGAGAGCTACTCATTTTAGCGTGTTTGGCTATCAAAATTCAGAGAAAGCTCCTAGTGTGAAGAGCACTTTGCACTATCCCTCAGAGTTGACTTTGAGTTTATCTATTGTGCTACCTACGTCTCTCTTATTTTTCAGTCACTTCATGGAAGGATTTTTATCTGATTGATTTGCAGAATACAAATTGCTTGCACGTAAACGAATCGAAAAAAATTTCTACGTAAATAGAAATAATTAATGTTTAATGGTTTTGTAGAAACGAAGAGTTTACCCCTGGATCCACTGCATTCCCAGAGAAGCACAAGGATACTTTAGTGTTCGTTTATCCTCTGTACACTACCTGAAAAAGCACTATGTGATCTCACGTGTAACCTGCTTGGATCTCTGTGGACGAGAACTGTGGAGCAATAACAATTTTCACAAATCACAGATAATACGCGGATCCTAGCACTTCAATGCTCTTGTTTGCGTCTCGAGTTCATCATTGGCGAAGGTATTCTCATTTTGCACATGGGTTTTGGAGCTCCTTAGGAATTATTGATTTTCTTTATGAATGCCGCTGAATACTAGTTTTTTTTCGCAAAACTGGGATGCGAGAAAGCTCCTCAATCTTGTGGACTACAATGAACTTCTCAGATAAGTCTAGCACCATTTTTCCGACACCGGAAGGATATGGAGATTTGTTCGCGTAGCTCGCTGTGTCAACGGACCTACAGCGTATTGAACAATGGCAGTACCATTGCACTACTAACGCAGCGAATAATGAGTAATAATAACGGCAGTCTATTCAAAAATGGTTTCAACTGCTGTGAGAATTTGTAAAAGTTACACAGTTGAATTATTTTTAGCTACCGAGTCGTGTTTCGTCGTGATATTGTTCCTCATCTACCACCTTGTGCTAAAGACAAGACGTGGTTTGGTGACGAGGATGTTAGCCGCCCATGCGATTTCAATGCCACAACTCAACCTTACCATCATGGAACTGAAATATGGTATGCACAGAACATAAGCTTCTGCACGCATATGTATATGCATATATATATATATATATGTATATCTGTAAGGATAAGGATAAGGATAAGGCTTTCGGCGTTCATCAATCCTTGAGGGATGCGCTGTGCATTCGACTTTATTAAGCATCGTTTGGAAGTGATTGAATGCACATTAGGCCTCTACAATAACTCGGTGACCTACCGATATATCTAGCTAGTGCTGCTTTCTTCCCAGACAAGTCTGGTCCAATTTGTCGACCTGGGAGGGATGGAGGGTTTGGTGGGCTATAGGCGCAGGGATCGATTCCACGTGTGTGTTGCAGGGCGCCTCCGTCCAGTGCTCCACACGCTCCCTTTATATATATATATATATATATATATATATATATATATATATATATATATACATATATATATATATAGTTGCATATGGCTACAAAAGGTATAAGCGAATACAAGGCAGTATCAACGGAGAGCACATTCTTTGAATCAATACTTATTTCATAGCATGTTTGCCACTTAGGTAGATTCCGCGTGGCCGCTCAACTAACCGGCTGACGAACAGCGATCTAAAAGTGAACAAAGCATAGATACTCATTTCAGGTATCCAGATTCTATGGAACCAGGTTCGCTCTACGTTGAATGTGTTGGTGAACCGAAAGGAGAAGACTTTACATGTTCCGATAAAATGAAATTTTTCTATGATCAGATGAATAGTTACATATGGGATCACCGACACTACTTTACAGTTCGAGTACGTTTTCATATCGATTCACGAAGTGGTGAAACCTGAGGTCTGAGTTCATTGACCCATTCAAAAACTTGTAGGAACACAAATTTTTGAAATTTACCGCCGTTTTCACCTTTCACCTTTCCCACGACCATTGTCTTTTTTGTACTCTTTCAAAGAGCACCAATTTTACTTTACTTATTATCTAAAGAGATCTATTGAATGAACTTAAATCTGGCCGCTTCAGGTGCCCGAGTATGGCAAAACAGGTTGCGATCTCACTCATCCGGAAGGAAAGCCAAGCATATTGGAACATGTTGTAAATAGAATTAAAACTTTGACAAGAACTATAGGCTTAGAATGAAAATAAGTCTCTCATTTTTCTCCAACAAGCTTAATTTTGCCCAAGTGCTTGGTGGTGTTATGGATGTGCTATGCTCGTGCTCTTGCGTTGACTTTTACAAGCATGACTGGAGCTTAGTTATAATCATGAGCACCTTCATTGAATTCTTTGCACTGGTGCCCACTGAGTGCCGGCTTATTTTGAGAAAGTCTCCAGATGCTTTGTTAAATATTTCTCTTTTCATTGGTCGGCATGCCTTTGTTTTGGAAATCTCGACATATTGTGTTAAGTATTTCATTCTTCGTTAATGAGCATGGTTAATTGCGCTTAGTTTTCGAGAGTATCACGGGTTTTCTTATGTGTTCGAATATATGTTTCTCTTCAGTTCTGGACATAAGTGGTAAACATTCAATCCTTTTTCCATTATTCCTATCCTGTGACAATGCTGAAAGAAAGGATAAAGCTCGGTGTTGATCAACGCCTGAAGGATGCGCCATGTATTCGACTTCATTAAGCACCGTTTGGAGGCGATTCAATGCATATCTGGTCTTTGAAATAACTCGCAGTGTCTTACCGATGTATCGAGCCAGTGTCTTTCAGACAACTCTGTTACCAAGTTGCTGACCCCATAGGGATGGAGGCCTGGTCGACCATAGGCACGGGGATCGACTCCACGTGTGTGTTGCAGTGTGCCTCCGACCACTGTGCCACGCTCGCGCCCTTTCACGAATTTTCGTGTTATGAAAAATCCTTTGTGTGTCATGTTTTTCTTCAGAAGCTTCAGTTTTGGCACATTCCGTTCATGTTTTATTGAAGGCATTTCTATTGAAATTGCAACCGAACTAATTGGTTTTAGACCAGTGTTAGCTCTTTTTTTGAACTTCACCTTCATTCAGATATGTTTCCTGAGCCAGAGTCCGGAATGTAAAGACCGCAATTTAACGCACACAAATGCTGTGGAAGTGGTCCCATTAGAGGTCCTTAAGCCAGTGATGAGTGGATCGTCATCAACATTGAGTGCACTATCACTCGTTATTGGCGCTGTGATATGTTTTTTGAGGAGATAACAAGCCTATTTGTAATATTTCCTACTTGTAAACGCTGCTTCGAGAGGTTTCCATGTCTCATTTCGACATTTTAAATATATCATATATGGGCCATCTGATAAAAGGCCACCTATGCCCATCTTAGTTTCAGCACCAGTTGTGTTCTACCTCCGGTTCGCGCTTGGCGACATAATGATGAGTTTCCTGTTATAAAATCATGTGTTAAAATGGTTCATTGGTTGTGAATGGTCATTTCCCGCTCAAAAAATTTTTTAATAGCCAACTACTTTAGTTTCTTCATAAATCCTTGGGCCCAAAATGATACTTTCACAATCTTCTGTTGCGAATTAGTAAATTAATAAAAATCTGTGTTTAAATTGCAGAATAACATTACTCTACAAATTTAAACTCTTTTATTTACTGCCTTTTTCTTCTTAATGGCAGGGTATGTTGTGAAATATAACTCGTATGAAGTGTTGAGATACCTGCAAAACTCCGGACCACAGGTGTATGCAGTGGAGAACGAACACGCGCTGTTGTCCTTACCGGGGAGCAGCGCACTTCACCACTACACCATCTGGGTCTTTTGCCCTTTTGATCTTTTGATCTTTTGCCATCACTAGAACTAGCTGAGAGACAGGCAAAACGAAGGACCCGGATGGTGTGGTGGTGAACGCGTTACTCCCCGGGAAGGACAACAGGGCGTTCGTTCCCCACCGCATACACCTGCGGTCCGGAGTTCTGCAAATATCTCAACATTATATACGAGTTATATTTCGCAACATACCCTGTCATTAAATAGAAAAAGCAGTAAATGAAAGGGTTAAGATTGTGATTATAACTAAGCCTCAGCTTAACTGGGTTCAATGCCGATTTGAGCACCCCAGATCAATCCCGTTAACGGGTGATTGCTGATGGCAAAAGATCAATAGAACTAGCTGAGAGACAGGCAAAACCAAGGACCCGGATGGTGTGACGGTGAACGCGTTACTCCCCGGAAAGGACAATAGCGCGTTCGTTCCCCACCGCACACACCTGCGGTCCGGAGTTTTGCAAATATCTCAACATTATTAACGAGTTAATTTTGCAACATACCCTGCCATTAAAAAGAAAAAGGGAGTAAGTAAAAGGGTTATAACTATTATTTTTACTTACTTACTTGCTTGTATACTTTAATGGTCCGTTTTCATTGGTTGCGCGGACCCCAGCATGATTTCCATTTCCTTAGAGTTTTGCTGCTTTTGCCACCGTGGTTGCTTGGAGCCCCGAGGTTAGCCTAGCTAAAGTCTGCTCTAAGTCGTCACTACCGCAGGCAGTCACAACCCTTGTGGATCAGAGGAAGCCACCATGTAAGTGCTTTGATACCAGGACGGTGGTCGACCCTCGTCCTGGTAATACTATTATTTTTAGGCAAAAAATTAAACAGTGTATACGGTGGGGAACGAGCGCGCTATATTCGTTTCCGAGGAGTAGCGCGTTCACCACCACACCACGTGTGTCCTTCGTTTCGCCTATCCTTCAGCTTCAATCGATCTTTTGACATCAGCAATCACCCGTCAGCGGAATTAATCAGCTGAGAGACAGGCGAAACGAAGGACACGCGTGGTGTAGTGGTTGGTGAACGCGCTACTCCTCGGAAAGACAATAGTGCGTTCGTTCCCCACCGCATACACCTGCGGTCCGGACTTTTGCAAATATCTCAGCATCATTGAAGTTATATTTCGCAATGTATACTTTGCCGTTAAAAAGAGTAGGCACTAAATAATGAGTTAAGACTGTAATTTTAAACATCCAGTATTAGAGCCACAACTCAGGTGTAGTAAAACAATCTTGTTCTCTTTTTAGAGCAATAAGAAATCCAAATGGCATTAACTACGAATAAAGCTCCTGAAGAAGAAATGGAAAAACCATACTTCGTCATTCTTCCAGCCTAAGTGGTATTTTCATTCCATTATATTTCATAATTTAAGAAGTATGTGGTGCTGTTCAGCAACTTTTGGTAGAGCAAGTTTAAGAAGGCACGCAACAAATAATTCCTTACAGTCTTTACAATCCTTTAGAGCACTTGTATTACTCGGACAGTACAAATCTCTCCATTAGTTATGCATCTTCTTGAAAGGCACAATGACGAAGCCTTTTCCAAGCTAAATTATTATGGCCGTTTAACTTATACTTACTTGATACTTGAACGGCCCGTCCTCACTGCTTGTGCAGACCCCAGCATAACCATCATTTTTCGGAGATTTGCTGGTCAAGGCATTGTAATTCCCTGGATTTCCGAGGTCAGCCTGACCGAAGTCTTCAGATCTTCACCACCACAGGCAGTCGCAGCCCTTGTGGATCAAAAGGAGATTTGCCACTATGCGACTAGTTTGATACCAGGACGGCGGTTGATTCTGGCATTGGTTTACTCTTAGCTAGGCTTCCTGATGGAAGCGCCGGCCGTTTACCACTAAGTAAAAGCTACGGTCCACGGAACTTCCGAGTTAATTTTGAAGTGTTCAAAATAGACGAGATAGGAAAATGCCGTTTGGTAAGACGTGCATTAGAAGAGCTCATTGAAATTTCACACTTAGCTTGTTTGGTACTAGCCACGGTGAAACCACTCTGGTAGCTGGAGAGCAAAATTTAAAAGAAATTCATCGCTTTGTTGTTGGTAGTGGTTTTTTTGCAAGCTTATTAGTCCAATGTTTTTAATGTTTCATTGGGTTTCTCTTCACTGGGCAATATTACAAATTTGTGACGGCATTGTGGAGTTGAGGGAGAATGGTAAGAAGGCATTTTTCTTCTGAGCAATATTGTTAGTTAGAAGATCAGGGCAAATCAATAGCTGGCCCACGTAAAACTTCTTCAACTGAGATACTTCAATGAGAAATAATTTGGTGAAACTAACGATATCACACTTCACCGAACCGTCTTTCACTTCACCTTAGCGTGAATAGGCAACATTGAGCTAGGTTGACACAAAATTTTTAACTGCCACGACCGACTTTCTATTAACCTCGGCATTGATCAAGTGATTTTGTAGGGGGAGGTCTATACTGAGGTCTGAGGTCTATACTTAGTGGAGACCTCGTAGAAAGCGGCTCTGAAGAAGGCGAAATTCGCCGAAACGTCAGCTTAATCGTGAACAAAGAACAATAACACCTCGCGTTTGCTCAAAAATACGAACAAAATCACAAAATTTTTATTCAGCAAACGTTTTGGCAGCTTCGCCTTCTTCAGAGTTCGGATAATTGGAGTCAAATGTCCACAGCCGTTCGTCCTCGATCAATGTGTCTTCGAGTCCATAAACGAAGAAATCCGCTCATAGTGGAATGGAGCACCCACGGATGAATAGAATTATGATCCTTATCTTGGCTCCTCTGAAGAAGGCGAAGATGCTGAAACGTAGGCTCGATAAACCTTTTACAACGAGCTCGCGTAAGCTAAACAATCTAAAGAAGTATGAACACATCACAGCATGAAGCAAAGCCTTGTTGCCTGGTGTTTACAGCAAGTACACAGCGTTCTATACCACTCAGAAGAAAGCTGATTTGAGATAGAAATGATTTTTGCAAAACGCTGGACCGCAGGTGTCTATGGTGGGGAACGAACGCGCTATTGTCCTTTCCTGGGAGTAACGCGCTCACCAACACACCATGCGGGTCCTTTGTTTCGACTGTTTCTCAGCTATTTCTATCGATCTTTTTGCCACAGCAATCACCCGTCAGCGGGGCCCAGCGTTTTGCAAATATCTCAGCAACGTTGTGGTTGTATTTCGCTTTGTAACCTGCCATGAAAATTATAGAAGGCAGAAAACAAAACGTTAAACATTGTGATTTCAACTGCAGCCATAGCTGAACTGGGTTCTATGCCGATTTGCGCTCCCCAGATCAACCCCGCTGACGGGTGATTGCTGTGGCAAAAAGATCGATAGAAATAGCTGAGAAACAGGTGGAACAATGGACCCGCATGGTGTGTTGGTGAGCGCGT